TTGAGCTGGAGCCGCACAGAGATGTCTACATTTCTAAGATAAGTTACCAATTTGGCTCCATGGTAACAGCTGGCAGGGGAGGAAAGAAAAGGGAGAAGAAGCTCTTCCCTTCTCAGGTGTTGTCCTTGAAGAGTTAACCTGCCCAGAACAGTGAAAGAAAAAGCTACTTTTAGTTGAACCTCTGCAGACTGTGAACTTGTGAGCCCCTCCCTTATACTCTGGGTATAAAGTTCTGAAACTACCTGAACTCAGGGTTCAGGGGATTAATTAATTATACTGAAAGCTGTGCCCTCTGAACCTGGCTGCAGCCAAATAAAACTGTTTCCTGCTATCTTTGGTGCCCTGACTTGTCTGTCCCCTACAACCATTTTACAAATGGGGAAGCTGAGATGCCAAGAGGTTCAATGAATGAAAGCCTCGTCTCCAATTCAGGTCTCTAAGGCTCAAAATCGACCTTGACCCACTGCATAACCAGACCTACTCTGAGCACAGGCTCAGGAGTGAAGCTAAGGAGCTGAGACTTGATCCTGTGTACAAGGGGGAGGTATGCAGAGAAATATATTTCTAGGACATTTGGGTATAGACATGAAGAATGGATGATTAGCTCAAAGAGACAAGCTGTGGGGACTTTGTTAAGAGGCAGCTTCAGAGATTTGGATCTGTAATGATGATGATGTGCTCCAGGAACTGGTGGGGGAAATGAGGCTGGATCCCTGAGGATGCTTTTGGCTGCAAATAACAGAGACCCCCAGCTTACAGTGGCCTAACCAATAAAGCCACAGGAGTGAAAGTAGACCGGGAGGCAGGCTCTGGGATTTTGGTTCCATCAGTTACCCAGGAGGTCATGAAAGGAGTCGAGTTCCTTTTGCTCTGCCACCCTGAAGGCAGCTTCCTCTTTGGGTCCTAAGATGCCTGCTCGTGGCAATCAGGGCTGCATGCTTTTTTGCTAGCACTTAATAGAAATGCTAAAACCTTCTCTTCAATGATATAAGTCCTCTTTTTCTGTCCAGGTAAGTCATATACTCACCACTGGACTAGTCCAACACAGAAGAATCCAGAATGTTTTCTTAGGATGGAATCAGCTTCCCTGTAAGATCTGAGTTGGAGGAATGAAGGCAGGGTCAAATGCATGGCTTCAGTAGGAAGCAGCAAAGCCAAGAAGAGTTGACAGGGAGGGAAACCCCATTGCCTGCTACATAGGACTGGGCAGTTTGAAAACAGCACACAGTGATATATTGAAGAGGAGAGATAACAAATATATATATCTCAGATAACTCCAAGAGCTCTAGTCCACAAGCCCAGTAAGATATTATTCCATCCGCCAAAATTGAGGAGATAAAGAGAGTTTGGTTTCAGGAGTTCACTTTTGGATACTTTAATTTTGATGTAATGAGGGTACAGCCATACTGATTTGTACCCATTGAAGATATGGTTCTTTGAACTTGGGCTCAAGGTTGTGTAGGATGGAGCCCCAGGAGAGAGGCCCAGGAAGATAATGACATTGCTTCTGGTTACTGAGAGGTGGGTGCTGACATCAGGGACTTGTGGTAGAACCAGGTGGAAGGAGCTGAGAAGGCACAGCTGGAGCAAGGCAGGACTCTTCCCAGCAAGGCTGCTTCTAGGATGGGGTCCGTGACTGACAGGCATCCTTGCCTATGTGCACAGTGGCAGGGATAAGACACTGGAAGCAACCTAAATGTGCAACTCTAGAGAGCTGATTAAGTTAACTATTCTGCCTCTGGTGGGTGGAATGCAGTGTGAATACAGCTATCTTGGCTGCAACAGAAAAATCTATCATTAAGTAGAAAAGCAAGATGCAGAAGTTTGTGTTAAAAGAGAACATATGATATCCAAATGTGGGCTTGCATATCCACTGCTTCTGGAAGGCATCAGAAGAAACTTTTCATAGTTCCTCTGGGCAGGGTTCTGGGAGCCTGGGAATCTTTTCTTCTTACCTTGTCAGCTGATGGAGTTTCTTGCACCATGTGCATTTATTACCTATGATAAAAGTTAGATCATAAAAATAAATACATAAAGCAACAGGCTTTTAAGTGTCAGAGATGTTAGTGATCCCGAGGACTGACAGGAAGCCATGGAGTGGTGCTGGAGAGTCTGGAGTCAGCTACAGTAAGGCACACATCAAGGGAAGAGGCCACGGGGGAAGCTGAGGCACTGAACTACCCAGAAAAACACAGAGAATAGGGGGTAGCTGTTGGGTTCATTGAGCACCACTGTAAAAGCAGGGATGCTGCTGAAGGCCCCCGGTTAACTCTACACAGGCTCCACCTGTTTGTTTGTTTGTTTGTTTTTAACCAGGTATTGAACCCAAGGTTGCTTAACCATTGAGCCACATCTCCAGCCCATTTTTATGTATTATTTTGAGACAGAGTCTCACTAAGTTGCTTAGGGCCTCCCTAAGTTGCAGATGCTGGCTTTGAACTTGCTATCCTCCTACCTCAGCCTCCCGAGCTGCTGGGATTTCAGGAGTGTACCACCACACCCAGGCCACTTTTATTTTGGAATGAGTCCCTTTGTTTTAGCCACTGGAGCTGGAAAGACACCTAAACAGATCTCTGAAATCACTCCCAGAGCTTTAGGCTACATGTTCGATCTGATATAGAAACAACTAACTTTAAGTAATTCTTGGCATTCTAGACCCAGATGCTGAGAGACAGGGCTGTAGGGCAAGAAGAAGGAGCCCAAGAAATCATTTTTCAAACTGGACGTGGTAGCACATGCCTGTAATCTCAGTGACTCGGGAGGCTGAGGCAGGAGGATTGCAAGTTTGAGGTCAGCCTCAGCAATTTAGCAAGGCCCTAAGCAATTCAGTGAGACCCTGCCTCAAAATAAAAAGTTAAAAAAAAAAAAAGGTCATTTTTTCTGGTACTGAGCCTCCTAACCCAACCAAGAGTTGGAGGAAGGAAGGCTGATCTTTGCCCACCAGCAGCTGGTGTAGCTGTGAGGCTGAGGGAGATAAACAGAGAGCACAATGGCTCAGCTGCTCAGAGAGCAGAGATCAGGGCTCCCACTTGCAAACTTATTATGGCAGTCCATGCAAATAGGAAGAGTGTCTTAGAGCATTCAGGCTGCTGTGACAAAGTGTCATGAACTGCGTGGCTTATAAAGACAGAAAATTATTTTTTAACGTTTTGGAGGCTGGGAAGTATAAGATCAAGATGTTGGCAGATTTGGAACATGATGAGGACCCTTATCCTGGTTCACAGATGGCACCTTCTCACGGTGGAAGAGGCTTGCTAGCTCTCCGAAGTTTCTTCTGAGGGCACTAGTCCCATCATGAGAGTTCCACCTTTGTGACCTCCTGAGGCCTCATCTCTTACTACCTTTACCCTGGGGGTGAGGATTTCAACATAGGAACATTGGGAGGATACAAACATTCAGAGCATAGCAGAGACTACTTACTAAAATAACAATAAATACAATAACAAGAATCCTAAACTTTTTTGGAGATAACTGCCTCGTTATTTTCATGTCTTTCAGTATCTTGTTAGTCACCTCATGCAAAAAGATTTATGATTAATGAAACTACACACTGCAGCTCCCTCTCAGAAAGTCTCCAAGTACCTAAGATTCTAAAAGGCACTGAAAAGTCCTACATTAAGCTAACTTATCTAACTTTGTTCAAGAAGCTTCTCCCAAATGCATGTGGTCACAGAAGTCACTGTCATTTTAATGTAATAACCGACAGTGATATCCAGACCACGCTTCAGGAAGAGTTTTAGTTTAATCTTTTTATTTAAGGATGAGGTATCTTAAGAGAAGTAACTTTCCAAGTCTCCATGGTCATTTGGTAACACAATGGATGTGAGAACCTACATCTCCTATCTCATGCCTCAGTGGATTTTCTGCTAACCTACATGGCTGCTGTCCCCTTGTTGGCGTGGACATATCAACAGTGTGGACCTGCTGCTATATCAGAATCCAGGCAATGATAGGGCAAGATTCGGTGGCTCGGGGAACTTGCATGTAAGAGGGCTGCACTGAAATTTGCGGTCAAACCAAGATTTAATTCATGTTGAACCAGGCCCTGAAAGCCTGGACATCGATATCCAATGGATGCTAAGTGCTGGCTCCTGGCCAAGACAGGCCTTCTGCAAGCAGAAGGTCACTGACTTGCTGGGCATTTCCTGGATGCAAGGAGAGTTTCCATTACTCTCACAAGGAAATGTGGAGCTAGCTCATTGTTACTCAAGCTGAGACCTATGGAACCCTATGCTCGAGAGTTGTTCAATGAACACTGAGCAAGGAAAACATTCTCTGGTCATTCTAGCTTAGGACACAGAATTCAAGAAAGATTCCTTAAGGCTTTCCAGAATCTTTAACATGCTCATATTGCTATGAGCCACGGGGTAAGGAATGATGTATAGAATTCACTGATTATATGACTAGGGAATTCCTTTTGCAAGCAGTTTAATTTGTTTCACACACAAGTTTGAGGAATTCAGATCTAGATCAATGAGGTTCGTTGATTTTTGTATTCTTTCCCACCTCATCCCAAACATTCCTGCCCTTTCTGTGTTGAAAAGAAATTGCTGAACACAACCAGAAAATGTCTCCCCTGACATTAAAAAAAAATTAAAAGGGCCAGGGATGTAACTCAATGGTTAATGCCCCTGGTTTCAATCCCCAGTAACCTCCTCCCTGCCAAAAAATTAAGCCTGGCACAGTAATGTATGCTTGTAGTCCCAGCTACTCAAGGATTGTAAGGCCATCCTGGGTAATGTAGTGAGACCCTATTTCAAAATAAAAAATAAAAGGATAAAAAAGGGCTGGGGACACACCTGCTCAATGGTACACCATAATCAGTAGCACACATACAAAAATTTAATTGATGCATAACATTTGTACATATTTATGGGGAACAATATGATAATTCCATTTGTGTATATGATGTGTAATAATGAAATCAGGGTAATTCGCATTTCCATCTTCTCAAATATTCATCATTTCTGTATGTTGACATTTGTTCTTTCATATTTCAGAGTAAGGAGATTGGCCTGCAGATGCATGAGGAGCTCCTGAAGGTGACCAATGAGCTCTACACAGTAAGTTCTGCCCAGGCTCACTGCTTTTGGGGATTGGGTCCCTTGTCTTCAGTACCCAGAGCTGGAGGGAGGCAAAACAGAGGTCTGGGATGACCCTGGGCATTTTTGCTGTATCTTGTGTTGCAGTCACAGTGGACATCATGTCAGGCTATAATGATTCACAACCCCAGCTTCTGATTCTTTGTATCTGCGGTAGGGCCCAGGCATGTTAGTTGTTAAAATTCACATGAGATTCAAATGACCTTCCAGATATGGGATATTATATTATGAAAGCAAATAACACAGAGCTGAGTTTGGGTAGCCTGGGTGTGAAGGCACTGAGAGCAGAGATGTGGACTCTAGAGCCACTGGGGCTATTCCTTACTCTGGGACTTAAAGCAGGCATGCAGTTCAGGTCTTTGCATCCTCACCTGCACAATGGAGCCCCATTCTGAGGATGATGTGAGGTGTTGGGCATGTTAGCCTGTCTTGCTGTTTCCAGGGGATGATTTTACAAGATCAGTTTGGCCCAAGGCTAGCCTTGTTACATGCTAGGACTCAAAATCCAGCTGCACTTGAGAAGGGTGTTAGAATCGAAGATGGCAAGTGAGTTGGGAGTCCAGACACCCTGGGTTATGGTGCAGGTGCTCACAGGCTGTGCTTTGAGCAGGCTTTGACTTCCTTGGAGAGGAATGTGGGGAGCCCCATGCATAGTCTTGGGGAGCAGGTTAAACACCAGGCCTCTCACCTTCTTATGGCACTCACAGTAGAACTATTGTTGTAAATACATAGAGGTTCCTTATAAAGCTTTTCATTAAAAGTCTATGTGAGTGGGAAGAGGATTCTGCATCTAAAATGACATTTGAAAATTCCCAAGATGAGGGAAAAGAACTGTGTGCTGTTTGAAGCCCCTTCTCTTTGGTACTGCTTCTGTATTGACATCCTATACAGCCAGCAGGTGGCAGACTCCTCAGGGACTCTGAACCTTTGTCCAGATCCTGGACCTCAGGTGGAAGACCTGGATCTTGGGCAAGGCATTTGCTTTTCTGGGCCTCAGCTTCCCAATCAGAAAAATGAGTGTAAGTGTTCCTAAGTAAATGTTGAAGCTTGTAATTCTATGAATCCAAGTTAAGGAGTAAAAGTTGACTCCTGGACAGTTTTCAGTTGGATCATTCTTAGGGTAAAGGAAGAATTGCTGCTTTGCAATGTGAAGTATTTTGCATCAGCTGGTCATTGAGGGGCAGAGTAGCCCACTGACTTAAAGCACAGACTCTGAAGCCAAAATCTGGGTTCAAAGCCAGTTGTAAAATAGAAATAATAGTAAAGCTGTTCCTTGGTATCAATAGGGATTTGGATCCAGGACCTCCTGTGGATTCCAAAATCTGTGTATGCTCAAGTCCCTTAGGTTAAAGGGCACAGTATTATGCATTCTCCTTTGCACTTCAAACCATGCCTAAGTTACTTACAATACCTAACTATAAATGTAAGTGTATGTAAATGTTTGTTATATTGTATTGCTTTGGGACAAGAAAAGAAGTATTTACATGCTCAGCACAGATGCAGTTTTTTCCCAGATACATTCAACCTGCAGTTGGTTGAATGCTTTGATGTAGAACTAGCAGATGGGTGGGGGAGCTGACTGTACCTACTCACTGCATGTTCTTTTGAGAATGAAAGGAGGTTGTGTTTGTAAAGTGTGTTTAGAACATAAGGAAGCAGTGGATCAGGGGTTAGTAATGTTACTATCACCATCATCATCATCTCACCCTTGATGAGTTCGGGTGGCTTACCTTCCCCCATATTCCAGCTCCACATCCCAGGGCCCCGGGACCACGGGGGTCCCTGTCCTTCCCTCCACCCTCCAGCTGCACTCCTCTCTTTGGCACTTTTCATTGCCCCAAATACCTCCACTCTCTGCTTCTTATCACTGCACTTCTTGTCTATAATTGTCTTTTTTGCTCCTTGGCTTGTTTTTGTCAACTCATTTTTCAAACTCAGATTAAACCCCAACACTTTCTGCAAGGCACCACCATTGGGCTTTGAGTTCTATGGCGGTTTTCCAAAGATCTCTTGGTGTCAGCATCTCTCCTGTGTTGGAATGCTTGGAGTCAGGTCTTCACTGGATGTGTATCGCTGCACTAAAGGCCCAAAGGCCCACATTGAATAGCTGTGTGGCCTTGGGCTCATCTTTCACCTCCCAGTTTCACCTGTGAAAAATGGGGCTGGTCATCTTTCTGCAGCTTGTAGATTGGGCAATTTCAGACTGTTGTCAGAGATCAAGAGGATGGTGGCATCTCTCTGTGACCCTCATGGTGCTGGTGCCTAATGGGCCCTGAATCTAGCAGATGCTGTGGGCACAGCTGCCTGTGGGCAGGAGATGGGGCAGTGGTTCCCCCACTGTTTGAGGCCCTCAGGGTGCCAACAGTACCTCCTCAATATCCTTTATTCTTGACTGCACACTGAGTCTTCAGTACATTTGGCCCTCCATATCTGCAGGTTCTACATCCCATGGATTCAACCAACTGAGGATAGAATTTTTTTTTCATTGCATCAATTCTGAACAGATTCTTTTTTGTCTCCATTCCCTAAACAATACAGCACAGTAGAACTACTGCTTACGTAGCATAGCACTGTATTAGGTGGTGTAAGAAATCAGTACACCGGAGGATGTGTGTAGGTTCTCTGCAAATACTAGGCCATTTTACATAGGGGACCTGAGAGAGTGTGGATTTTGATGTGGGAGGTGCCTGGAACCACCTTGCACAGATTATGAGGGATGACCCTAGTCAAAAACATTAAATTCAAGCATTTGGGGCTGCCTGCTCTGGCCCCATTGCCACCGTAGGGCATCATGGGGGATCGGGAACATTTCAGAGTTGTTCTTTCTCTCAGGTTCTTGCCCATCCTTGGTGCTCCCTGGGTGCTGACTAAGCAAAGGAAGAGGAATGGATTGTGAATAAATGAGAGGAATTGATTTTGCCTACAAGGAGTGGAGAATCTGGGCAGAGAGATGGAGTAAAACATGTGAACTGTTGATACAACCCAAGATGGAGCCTAGTACTTGCAGACACGTGGCTTGCAAGGGAGACATCGAGCAGGAACAGTGTGGAGAACAAGGGGTGAGACTTGTTCTCCACAGTGCTGGCCTCCTTGAAGCCTTCAGTGCCTGTTTCTTGTATGAAGACATGGGAGGATGTGAGCAGACGTGTGAGAGACTGATTGAGAGAAGGAGTGGGGAAGAGAGGAAAAGAAGGACAGGATTCAGAAAACTGATGGCCCCAGGTGGGCCACAGTAATAAGAGATGAACTTGAGCTTGGTGCCTTTGGAAGGATAGGAATTAACCCATTATGTCCCATCTTGCCATTTATGGAGCACCTAAAAAACTTAAATTGAGCAACAGATATACCACCATGATAACTTTGAAATAAATATTCATTTTTAAAAAATATTTATTTCTTAGTTGTAGTTGCACAATACCTTTATTTTATTTATTTTTATGTGGTGCTGAGGATCAAACCCAGACCCTTGCACGAGCTAGGCAAATGCTTTACTGCTAAGCCACAACCCCAGCCCCTAAATATTAATTATTTTAGAGTTCCATTCTTCTGAGAAAGCTCATAGGTAAATGGTTAGTGAAGATATTAATATTGTCAATGACATTAACATTGTTATTAATAATAAATTATACAATAAATGGGCTCTATGTTATGATCTCCAAATCTATTTTAATGCAGCTGTGTCACTTTCATTGAAATATTTTTAGAATTGAAAACTTGAGACTTAATGGGTTAAAGAAACAGAGGGAAAGAAAGGAAGAGAACAGGAATTCCAGTAGAGGCTCTCAGTGGAGCCAACTGATTACACACAGATGTGCTTTTGACTTCCTATTGCACTGCTTACCAGCCTGGCCAAGTGGGTTAAAACTTGTGTTGTCAAAACAGGGATGACAATGACAACTGGCTCTTTAGTGAGTGCTCAGGATAGATTTCACATTGTATTAAGTACTTTGATGTATTACTGAATGAGCACTCACATTTTACAGGTAAAGAAACGAGGGCACAGAGAAGTAAATGACTTATTAAAGGCCTTTGTAGCAGTCATCAATTGCTGCATAACAACCACCTCAAAATTTAGGGGCTTAAAATAGCTGCCATTTTGTTTGCTTGTGATTCTGTGGGTTTGCAATTTGGGCTGAGCTAATTTCTGGTCAATTTAAAAAAAAAAAAAAACACCAAAGTGAGCAGATCTTATAGGCAAGCACTTTTCAAGGTTCTGCTCAGGCCACATTTGTCAAATCACTTTGCCAAAGCACATCACATCCAAGCCTGGGGGCAAGGATAGAAAGTGAGCTCCTCCCTCCAAGGCAGTCACTGCACAGTGAGAAGGGCTGTACCTGCAGCAATGCCTGGAACTATTGGTTCCCCTTTGTGAACTGTCCACCATGGCCACCCAGTTGCTGTGTGTTCCCCTGCTGCCCCCTCATCATGCTTAATTGCTAGGGGCTTCTAGTTACCGTTTTGGTTCCACAAGTCTTTTTAGAGCCCTTTATTCCCCAGCCCAGCTTCATGACCATAGTAACAGGAATTGATGACGTAGAGAAAGGATGATCCGGTAAACCTCATTCTTTTCTTTTTTTAATGTTCTATAAAGGAGGAGGGGGTCTGTGAGGGGAACTTCTGGGCGTAATGGTGATGGAGATATGTGCTGATGGCCATCTATCTCCTTCCTGAAGAGAGGCTCATCTCTATCTGGGACCAGGAAGGATGCAGAGGAGACTGCAGGCCTGGGTATTTTGTTCCCTTATTCCTTCATGCATTCACTCAGCAAGCCTTCCCTCTGCCCAGGCCTCGTCACTCCTCACTGAAGCATGCTTGCACAGGTGTGTGTGCACATATACACTCACAGGCACATTAACACATATGCAGACACACTAGCACAAGCATGTGTGTAGGTACATACTCACATTTAAGCATTATACACTAGCACACATGCACACATTAGCACAATGTATGCACATTAC